TACTGTTTTCACTCCCACTAGACATCGTCATCCTCAAGGGAAAGCAGGTGCTGAGAAGCAGAGTCACATGCTGGACCTTCTAGATGTAAACCTAGGGAACCCATCTCTCCAACCAGCACATGCTGCTACATTGGATCCATGGGGTTTTCCACAACCTGTGCCACAGTCTCCACCAACCAGACCACAGGTAAGTGTTTACTTCCTCCATACATTTGATTGTAATTTTACTGTTATTTTCATTTGTTGTGTTTTTGTTATTTCCTTTGTTATTGTTACTTTATTGTCATTCAGCAATGACCTCACATTACATTAGTGCCTTTGTTGTGATTGTTGCATTTGCTATTCCCTTGGTCACCCTGCTAATGTCAGTGTCCATGTGGTATGAAAATCACCTTTGGAATGTCTGTATTCCAGAGAGTTCCTTTTCAGTTTTGTTGATTAATGACTCCATATAATCCTTTATAACAAATTGTTGCTTATCAACTCTTCATTTTGAGATAAGTATAATTATACAAGAATTGATGCTATATAGATTGAAGTTGAAAAGCAAAAAATGAAAATTGAAATTGAAATATGTTCTATAAACATTCATTTAACTAATATTTAAAAACTGATGATTTTTTAATATAAATAATAATATTTATGCATCAAAAACATGCCAGTTTATGGGTCTGCAAGCAATTGGCACCAGGAAGATGACATTCTACTGGGATGTTGCACCATGTAATCTCGTAGAAATTGGCAGACATTCCACAAGTGCTTGCTGCCTCCATTATCTGGGTAACCATCTATGAGACTGCACAGTGCAACATCCAGAAAGACAGTCATCTTCATACTCACCGCTGAGAACCAGAAGTCACACAAATATCATCAGTTTTCTTTTCTTGGCACATTTGCAGCTAAAAGTTACAGAAATGCACCTGTCTCTGTGCATATAAGTATTGAACAACCACTGGACAGAGCTTTATAAAATCTGATGTGGGTTAGTTTTACTAAAATTTGTCAGCACATTCTGGCAGTAACAGACAAGTTACTTGAAGGCATATGCCATTTCCATATGTCTTAAACCAAACCTCTATGTAATTATTGGAACAAAATATAATTCAAACACAAGTTTATGGAGAAAAATGTAACACATTTTATATCTATTTTCTGTAAGATTAAGAAATTACATTAATAATAAATGGTGAGTAATTAATTTACTCTGCGTTTACCAAATTAATGCCTCCACCATTACAGCATCATGACATCATACACACATGCAATTTTCTCTCTCCAACAGAATGACCCATGGAATAGTCCAGCCAGTTCAGTGCCGAGTGCCTCAACAATTGCATCTCACACACCAGCAGCAGACCCATGGGCTCCTGTACCTTCCTCTGCGATAGAACCCACCCATCACAATACAGCAGCAGTGGTGGACCCATGGCGTGCAGTGTCTCCTCAGTCTCATTCACAACCAGCTGTACCTGCAAATGATCCCTGGTCGCCTAGTACAAACACTGACCACTCCAGCCCTGGTACTGCCAGTCCCAGAGGTGGTCTCTCGAGCCCAAACGGAGATCTGGATGAGTTTGATGTTATAACTAACAGAGAGAGACCAACATTAAACAATTCACAGGTCAACAATGTTAACTCACTTAACAATAATGGTTAGTTGTTTTAATTCTTTATTTAATTTTAAAAAGTACACATACTGATTGTGTTACTGAACTTCTAAATTGAAATTAACTATGTTTTGTTCAAGTATAATATGTAATTTTGTTTTCAGATATCTCAAAAAAAAAAAAAGATTTTGCATTTTGTTTACCAGCATTCAGTTCTGTTTTGTATTTTGAGGAATAAATGTGTACATTTTGGACATTTTCATGTAAGATTTGGAAGTTAGATTCCTTGGCTCTCCAGTGTCACAGGAATCCTGTGACATTTCTGAACATGTTTAGTTTTGTTCTGTAGGAAATTTGTAAGCCAGTTTAATATTTGCTTGTTTTGTTTGCATATGCTCCCAGTAGGGATTAATGTAATTTCATAGTCTGTCAGGAAATGACACTACCATGCACATGATGTGTGCAGGCATCTCACACAAACAGAAGAAATTATCACATACTCACAAATTCAGCATATTGAAATCTGTTGAATAATGTATTACATAGCATGAAAGAAAGAAGAAAGGGTTACAGAATAAAGATACACAAAATTGCCATCTTACACTGTTTGTGTGTTAGAGATTTTAGGTTTTGTCTTATCAATGTTTTTATTGTTACAAAATGGTAGTACAAAATCCACTAGAAGGTGAATGTTGCTGATGCAAGTATCTTGCATACAGGTGGGGCAGTGTCACCTGACCCTTTTGACATGAGTCTGCTGGGAGATTCATTAGAGAACAAGCAGCAGCCACAGAAGAAGACTCCACATAGTTTCCTGGGTGAGAATTCTGCTCTTGTGAACCTGGACAATTTAGTGACTGTCAGCAAACCTCCATCAGTGGCACCTTCACCAGGTAAACCAGCCTCCTGTCACCTGAAAGGTCTTACCAATGACCTCTTTCCAAAAGCTTTTCCCAGTAAAATCTGTACATATTATTTGTCCTGCCTGTCCAGTGAGTTAAGAACTGCTATTGCCAGTGCCCCATTACTGGACTTGATTCTGAACTAGTTTCATGCATGTTCTGTTTAAATCTTGTTCCTCTATATGATATGTGGTCATCATGACTAATACCAAAAACTTCCAGTGGACCCGATTACCCTTTCATCCATTTTGACTTAAATTTGACTTTTTCTAAACCTTATGCTATCATCACTGTACATCACATTTGCTTCTGTAATAAAACTGAAATATGGAATTTTTTCAGTGCCACAGGCTCTGTCAATGGCAACAGTAAATCCATTTGCTGGTGTCACACCATCACCATCACCTAACCTCTTCCAACAGCAGCAGCAACAGGTTCGGCCAAGCATCAATCAAATTAGACAGCAGCCATTTGTTGGAAGTGTTGCACAAAGCCAGGGGAGCACAGAAAGTGCATGGGGTCCTGCACCTACTCATCGCCCAGTGCTGCCAACTCCTTTACTCCCTTCAGCTCAACCTAATCCATTTCTCTCATAACATATAAAGGTTTAGGAGTTTGTGAATCCCATAAATTGGGCCAGAGTTCTTGCTGGTGGTGAGTTGTTTATAAGTAAAGTCTAATATTTACATTTAAAATGCCTGAAAATGAGATTCCTTGTAATTTGTTTTTTTGTTTGATTCACAGTTTATACATTTACTGTGAGAAATATTGGAACATGCTATCGTGATATTTAGCATGTCAAAATTTTGTTTTAGCCAAGTTCCTAATAGTATATCTTATGAAGTGGGTTGTACTGGAGAAAATTGATCATTGAAATGTGTGCATACTAAATTAAATTAAATTTTGATAAAATGTGTAATAAATCATGTGAAACCATTTAGTGCAACAATCTGCTATGTTTCTAAGAACATACACAATAGCTTTTATAATTGGCTGTGCTCCTCTTTTCTGCCTATGCATTGATCGAGATTTTCTTACTTTTTAGGTACACTTTCAGCAACCCTACAGACTGCCTATTATGTTCACCTTGTCAGTTCATCCATCTGTATGCATAAAAAATCTCGAGAGTGGCTGAATGGATTTTCATAAAATTTGGTATGCACATTATACCATTTAGGCTACTCCAACCTCATTTAATCTTATGCATTCTTTAATACCAGTGTGATGGATGCTCAAAATTTGTGGCAGAAGGGTGATGCTCCATAAAGAGTCCATTACCCATGATCCTCTGAATCCTGTATGACAATGTAGACTATGTATGTAAATTGTGAATGGCTGAATAGATTTGCATTAAATTTGGTATTAACATTACATCATTGTAGGCTGTACACACTTTTTAATTTCCTATAATTGATAATACCAACATATTTGGGGCACAAACTAGTTAGATGATGTCATTACGATCCTCCACACCCATGATGACTTTATCATTCCTGATGACATCATTAACCTAGCTTATTGTTGCAACAGTTAAGAAATAAGCACAGTTACTATTGTTTGTTTTCCATATTTACCAAGCTGTGACCTGTGTTCACCAAATATTTCATCTGACAAAAATCAACCATGGTATATGCACCTTAAAGTGTCACACTGTGCATACATTTGCCAACTTGTTTAATTTACTATATTAGTGCCAGCAATCAGAATCACACATGAAAGCATTTTAATGCTGAACTTTTTTTATTCCAGCATCTAATAAGCAAGAGCAGCCCAGTAGTCGACAAATCACTTTTTGACACATAAGCATGCCAAAATTTTCACAATTTCCACACATAACGTCATAATGGGGCTATAATAACCTTTTGCTAAAGTGAAACTATTTGTGTCAGAATTTCACAGATACAGAAAAACCTTAATGTGATGACTTTTGCAATTTGACCCTGCTGAGGAAGGTTTATATTATGATGATGTCAGAAATTAGAGTATATATCTGTTTCAAACCTCACCACTAGCAAGGCATTTGAAACAAGCATTGTGTTGGGAGATAATCCGCCCATATGGTGTTAATGGTTTCCTCAGACCACACATGCTCACAGATATTAGAAGAGAAAACTGAAATCGTCCGTTAAAATGAATTATTACAATAAAGGAAATTGAAAAAATATTAATTTATTTTCAACAAGTTCTTACTTTCTGTATCATAAATACAGACAGATAAAGACAAAACAAAATGTTGATGTCATATATATGTTACGTGTTTTGCGTTTGCCATTATTTTGGCAGCTCAATAATGTATTGCTTAGTAAGTACCCACATGTCAGGTGGAAAATGACCATTTGAAACACCAGCTGTAACATAACTGTAAATTTTCTTGTCCAAACAACCATAACTTTTATGTGGAAGTTTTGACCCTTTATGTCTTTTGATATACATTTAGATAAAGGAGACTTACCTTTTTAATATTAGGCACTGAATGCATATTCTGTAGGTTAACATAACTTTTCCTGCCCAATAAACATGAAGAAATGGTGTTGGAAGAAGAACATTTCTTTGCCATTGCAATATTAATGCTGAATCTTTATTGTATTTTTGTTTCTGAATTTGGTAAGTTTATCTGAATAATAATTGGTTTTGGTAGGAAGATTTTATTTAAGTATTAATTGTATGTTACCAAAAGAGGTAATGGAACAGCTTTTAAAGTTTGACACAGGTGTGGTATAGTGTGATCTTTAAGTTGGTTCAGTTTAGTAATTTTCTTAATGGTGTACATACAGAGCTTACCAGTCATTCAGCATCTGAAGTGCTCAGGCTAATTATTTTTTTAAAAATGTGGTAATGTAGCAGTAAGAAAGCTCAGGCATTGTAGATTTTAGCACTGTTCAGTGCTTCCTCCAGAAGAAGTTTCTGAACGTGTTCAGAATTATACATTTGGTGTATAACCTAAATGCACTACACAAACATGTTTTGGATTAGAGAAAAGTCTGAAAAACATGAACTTAAGTTGAAATATGAATAGATTTTTATAGTTTTAGATGTATGCTACCCTTCCATTTGTCGCATTTGAGTAGAAGCATCTTTTGTCTTGTGGAGGACTGGTTGTATAAAAAATGTAAGAGTATTACATCTTGACATCCTTCAGCTGTGCAGAGTCAAAAAAATAATGTAAAGTACATTCTGTTAATATGTTATTCACTGAACTGTATGCTACTAATTGATTAATTGACCAACTAATTGGTAACTAACATTTCATCTAAGAAAAATGATGTATTTTTGTTTTTTCCCCAGTAGTACTTTAAAGTATTCTGCACCTATTTTCTTGATTGTTATTACCGACAGGAATTTAACTTGTAATAAGAATTTCAGCAAGAATAATGTAAAACAAAATTATGTGAACACAAGTCAAGGTTGACTTTTGTGTTAATAATCATCCTTTCAGTTTCTATTTTAAAGTAATTTCATCAAACATAATTTTACAGTGTTTTTTACTTACTTTTCTGTTTTGTGCTGGTTTAACTGTATCTATATGGTTCCAGAACCTTTTCATCCACAGAAAAGTAATGTGTCTGTATCCACAGAATTACAGAAGTCACAAAACAATTTGATCTTCAGCTCTAATATGATATGTTTCTCACTAGAGTGATGTCAAGAAGAAGGTTTGCAACAGAAGGCAGATGAGCAGATTTTGTTCAGCCAGCTGTGTTGCAAGGGTAAGGTGATGGAGGGAATTAATTTGGCCAGATATCTGCATTTCTTTGAAGGCTAGATAAAAAGTGCCATCCAAGTCTACCCATATGCATTTAGGCAAGCTTGGAGAAACAACAGTCAACTGTAACCACTTCAAACTTCTTCCCATTAAACTGTCCTTTGTTGGGATTGTTTAGCATCTTGGATCATAGGTTAAGATGTGGAAAGAACTGTGATTTGACTCGCTACAATGGAACTGGCTTTATGATTTTGGCATTCTTCATCTTGTGTACAGTTCTCATTTCTTAATAAAATCTCTGGCTACAAGCCATGTCTGTTTGTTAAAAATTGATGTTTCAGGGACCAGGCTTATAGCTTATATATGTATATGAAAAGATTTTATTAATGTTAGATGCCGTGAAACCTTAAAATCATTCAGGTATCATTTTTTTCTCATAACTTATTTACACTTTGATACAGAGTTTCTGATATTGAGATCCTGGAATATAAAATTTGTAATATATGATGCTGAGTTATCATTGCTGTAAATTGTGCATTTCAGTCATGGATATGGTTTTTGTATTCTAAATGTTGTGTCTAACATGACAGGATCTAGAATTGGAATAAAATGTTAAAATTAACAGAGGATTACTCATAATCATATGCACTCATCTACCATTTTCATATGTGGTATGAAGGAAGGACATGAATCCTTGTTATATACAGTTTTGTTATATGTTGTTTGAATTTCCACATTATGTTTTTCTGGTGCAGGAGTTCACTTCCTTATCAGCACATCATTGTTACTTTCTGGAGAGAACATGGAAAGATTAGTGTTGATTTTGCTAAAACAAGTTCTCAACCATGGGCCACATCTGGCCTGAAGATGGTTTGTGTGTGACCCATGTACATTTTTTGTAACATTGTCTCTCCATATGATGAAAAGGTTTCCTGATGTCAGAAAACACAATCTGTTAAGAGTTACTGTATGCATGTGAACTTGTTTTCAGTAGTAAGTTTGCAGCATTTTAAATAAACTGCCATGAAGTTACAATAAACTGACCTCATTTATAGCCATGCAGTTACAAGGTGATAAGCAAGGGTGTATTTGGCCCTAGGACGGGAAAGCGTTGAGAACGCCTGCTTTGAAGGGATGTGACAGACCACATTTATATTGGATCTTGTCCATATTCTGAGGTATGTTTCATTTTTAGGGGTGGTCAAGATTTGTGGCAGCAGTTAGGATCAGAAATGGAAATGTTTGAATACTGTGGTAACTATTAGACCACATGTGTTCTTTTCAGTAGTTAATATTGAAAATTGGTACTTAAAGGGCTGTTCTGGTTATTAACATTCAAATTTAGTATGCAGTAATCTCTTATGGGGTTGTACAAATTTAGCACTAAAACATTTCAGATCTGATGCGATCATTGCCACTAACCAAAAAGAAATATTAATTGTTAAAATAACAATCACTTGAAGACAAAATTACAGCCACTTCACAATGCATAGTATACCTCACATAATGGACAGTGCCCAATATTATTGTATTATAAGAGTAATGATAACTCATTGTAAAGAGTGTAAATTTCAACTTCTCAGGAATTAAACAAAATTTTTATAAACACATGCACATTCCTCATGCAGGTTTTTAAGGAAGCATGTCTTGTTCCACTCTGCACATAAGGGAAAGGTATGTGTCTTGTAATGTGGAAAATTGTCTTTATTTAAGATGTTTGCTATTTTAACATGTTTTAAGTAAGTAGAGATGTCCTTTCTGTACTCTCAGCTAATGAGATTGTTATGGTTAACACAAAACTCAAGCCATCTGTGAAATGAGAAGTGGACTGGTAACCATCAGTGCTTTTGTTCTTTAGGAAATACTTTTCCCACACATTATTTGAAAACTGATATATGGAAAGAATATGCATGTTTTATTGTTTTGGAAGACAATGTAAAATTTGTACATTATGAATATTTTATTAATATATGCTTATGATTAACTGTATTAAAATAATAAAACCAGAGGAACTGTACAGCAAATCTCATGGCCAGCACTTGAACATGGATACAGAACCCAGCTAGTCCATATGTGGTTGGTGGGTGACTTACAAAATTGCAGTGAGAGTTTTGTTCACATTTTCATTCTACCAATTATTTCACCTATAGTTTCCAGAATAACAGATTCTGACCTTTGAATTTGGTAAGTTATCATTTCACTTCTTTTAGAGTAGATTAGATCTGAAAGAAGATCTGCAGTTTATTTTTATTGTTTGTTGAGGTTGGACCATTCATAGTACTTCACCCTGCGTGGTAGTTAACGTTGTTATCGACTGAGGACGTGGCAGTGGTTGCGACCCAGGATTAATGCAGATAGCTCCCGATAGATCGTTTCGTAGTTCACTACTGCTGAAGATTACTGGTTTTGGAAGGCACTATAGTGTGTGCTGCTGTACGTATGTCTGATTCCTTTGGAAGGAAGGTTCTGGACAATGGAAGTGACAAGAGGAAGTAAGTTGACTCTGATAATTCAAAACTGAACTCGACATTTCTTGATCAACTTATACATTGCACATAACTTGATTATAGATTTCCGTGAGGTGTTGTTAAAGTTGGAGAGAATATTACCGGCAGCAGAGTTCCTTGCCATAGATGGGGAATTTACCGGTTTGCACACAGGCCAGGATGTAAATGCGTTTGACACACCATCACAGTATTATTCTAAACTTCGTTCTGGTTCGATGGACTTCCTGCTGGTTCAGTTTGGTCTTTGTGCGTTCAGTTACGATAAGGAAAATGACAAGTAAGTTGGTTTAAACTTGTATAACTTCTCAATGCGGTGACCATGTGTTTGAAACCGTCAGTACGCGCTATCAGAAGTCGCCTACACTGTTGTATTTATTCTTAGTTGGAGGTAAACCACGAACTGGTGACGTATTTCTTCGAAGGGCCTTCCTTTGAGAGGAAGGGAGGTATAAGAGGAAGGATGCAGTACCCATACATTTGGTGTTTTTTTATCTCTTTCCTGAAAACATTTAACAAAACCCTCACTTCTGTTATCATACATTGTAGACAGTTGTTAAGTAAAGAGAAACACACTTGAATTCATAATGTTGTGGTATACTTGAGACTCATAACTTAAGAAACAGTGCCTTGTCAAACCCTCATCAGTTGGCCTGTTCTTGTTTGTTCTACCATAAAAATCTGTTCTGCTGTGCATACAATAATGTCGCATGATTTTGTCCTTCACTGAAAATTAACTACTGCTTAAGATGAATTTTTAAAATTAAAACCCTCATCATTGACTGTTGTGTTATAGCATTACTTATACCGTAGCATCTGTCTTCTGCTATCTTCATGTAGCAATCTTCAGAGTAAACACAGCACTTCTTCTCTTTCAGGTACACACATCAAGCATACAATTTCTACATATTTCCAAAGTCACCACAGATCCGATCAGCTCCTGATCCACGATTTCTTTGCCAGAGTTCTAGTATTGAGTTTCTTGCTTCTGAAGGATTTGATTTTAACAAAGTATTCAAAGAGGGTTAGTATTTTTATGTGGTACCATGGGATCATCATAATACATTGTGCCCAATATAAATGTCTGTGATCAGAATTTAATGTAAAAACTATTATTGTAGGTTCTGTATTACTACATTTGTTAAAAGTCTGTTATGACAGGAACTGATAAAAGTTTAAAAGCTTACTACTTAAAACTTTTTTTTTGTAGCATATTGGGTTTTGAAGTTTTTAATGGTATGAAAGACATGAGACAAACAGAGTTATTACATGTTCATGTTATTAGTCTGGTCTGCAATGGTTGCAGCTCTAGAATACTTCATTGCATTAAATGAATAATAACTTTATTGAAAAAATATTTCATACTAGGAATATCATACTTGACGCAGCCAGAGGAACAGAAACTGCGTGAACATCTGGAAGAGAAACATAAATCTTGTAACAATACAATCAGTTCCTCCCCTGGTAATGAAGATTCTTTTCAACCCATTCCTATTCCTGATGAATATGTATCTACAATTGAAGACAGTTGGTAAGTTGGAATTAGTTGTTCTGTGTGAGCAATTTTATTTTCCAAATCTTACAAGTTTATGGTTTTAAAATTTTGTTTGTAATATGATTGATTTTGCTATAGCTGGTGGGTATAATATTTAGATACATTCTTAATAACCAGAATTGCGTCTTACGTAATGAAAAGTGCATTTCTCATGTACTGTGTTATCATTAGCTC